TTTGGGAACATCCTGCTCGTGTGGGTTTGATAGAGGAGGTGTTTGTGTTTTTTACAGGCATGACGTGCAGGAAGGCAGCAGATCCGGTGGACTGGGCTCCTCTGGTTCTGGGTCTCCTGACGCTGCTCAAACAGTTTCACTCCAGATACACTGAACATTTCCTGGCTCTGATCGGACAGTTTATTCGCTCCATAATGGAGCAGTGCACCAGGTACCTCACTTTGGTATGCTATGTGATGATAGAGGAACAAGAATATGCCCCAAAAAAATAATAAGTAAACAGACTTAGGACTATTAAGACTTTTAATATTTTTTTATTGTTTTAGAATAAAAAATATATAGAGTAAAAAAAAAAAGTATATATATATATATATATATAATTAAATTAAATTATAATATTTTTAAAATAATAGTTTTATCTGCATAAAGGCTGTTCAAGTACTACATTGCTGTGTAAATGAAGTTTATTATTAAAATATTAATTAACTAATAAAACTTATTGTAACTAAGTAATTAAAAAAAATATAAAATATTAAACTATAAAATATAATTTTTTTCATCATGGTATAAAAATATATACAATAAATAATATATCATATGTATATATATATATTATATTATAAAATATATAACTAAGCAAGTTATATAGAGTAAAATAACACAAAATATAAAAAATGTGAATATGTAGAGAATATAATGTAAATATATAGAGTAAAATAATACAAAATATAAATTGTTTATAACAAGTTTTTTATAATCTACATAAAGGCAGTACAACAAATACTAAATTGATTTATAAATTTAAACTGTATATTTTTTTGTATTACAGTAAATAATTTTTTTATTCCATTATGTTGTTAAATATGCTTAGTTGTCATAAAAATAATAACAATGCAAAAAAAAAATCTTGATACTCATTTCTAGCAAGGCATAATTTATTCTCTAATTTTAAGGTAGAATCTAGTTTTTTTTTGTATTTTTTTCTGCATGATAGCAACAGAAGTGTTTAACAGTGTCTGTGTTCCTTCCAGTCAGAAGATTCCAGATATGCCTTCAGATGTAGTCGGAGCGTTAATGTTTCTGGAGGACTATGTGCGTTACACTAAACTGCCCAGAAAGGTAGGAAATATTGCCATTTTTTTTAAAGACACAAATATTTTACAACATAAAATGAGGAGAAATCATTTTTCTTTTCTCTTCTTTTTCAGGTGGCAGAGGCTCATGTGCCAAGCTTCATTTTCGATGAATTCAGGACTGTGCTGTAAATGTGCCTGTTGTAATGTCAAATCATATTTGATATCATTTGTCTTTCTCTTAAAGCACTAATGAAATTGATTAACATTTTTAACATTTAAGTTTTAAAACATGATTACTGACCTGATCTGTCTGCTGGTGTAATAAATGCCATATGTGTATGTTTTTTTGTTACAACTTTTTAGGACATTTAAACACTTTTGAAAAATTAATCTCTAACTCGCAACCTCTCAAGATTTATTGCTTTTATAAAATGGTGGCAACAGCAATAAGATACAAAAAAAACGTTGTGGATTTGGTTCATTGGTTTAAATGTACGCTGTGGCTCATCCAATCAGAATTTAGAGTGAGAATTATTCTGAAACTGTACACAAGAACTTTTTTGCACAAAACACATGATTTGAATGAAAGTTTTAATTTTATCTTAATTATATTACAATACTGAATGGATGCTGTATGAAAAAAATTGAGCATTTATCATTTTAATTGTCAGTCTATGTACAGCACACAATGAACAAAAACAGCCATGAAGAATCTATGAATTCTGTGTACACGGTCAGATGCGAACACAAGAGAACAACAGAGTAACTGCGCAGAACGCATGGAAAAGACGTCAATTACAGCTGCACAAAAATCACTACTGGTTAACGCTGTTTGTGTGTGCGAGAGAGCTCGCTATAGAAGCTGCTTTCCACCATAGAATCAAAATAATTTCAATTCTTTTTCTTGCAATTCGAGGATTTCTTTTCCTAATTCTTAGGAAAAAGCCTTGAAGGGTGAGAATTTTTTTTCCAAAAAAAGAATTGTTAGAAAAAACGCTGCAATTAACTTTATTTTTTCCACACAATTCTGAGGGAAAAAAGTCTGAACTGTGTGCCATAAACTCGCACTTACCTTTTATTTTTTATTCTGTAGCGGGGGGGGAAAATCGACATGTAAATTCAGAATTGCGAGAAAGTCTGAGTTCATATTTCGCAATTCCTCACAAAATTACCATTTTTACTTTTTATTCCGTATCGTGGGAAAAAAAGAACGTTAACATGTAAACTTTGAATTGTGAGAACGTAACGTTAAGTTAGAACTGTGAGTTTATATCTCGCAATTCTAACTTTTTCCCTCACAATTCTGAGGAAAAAGTACGAATTGTGCGAAATAAACTCATAATTTTGTGAGGGGGGCAATCACCTTTATTATTACTATTAATCCTGTGGCGAAAATGGGCTTCCATAGATCTCAGAGTGGGTGTGGCTATGTGTGAAAATATGAATTTTTTTAAATACATTCATAGGTATTTTGGTTGTGTCCTTCAATCAGGGATCAATGTGCCGAGATGCCCGATGAATCGATTAATATGACTAGCATCAGACTCGGCTTTGACTGACACGTTTATTCCAGTACGAGTGTGCATTTGTTTTCGGAAAGGTCAGGGTCACAGTGAGCAGAGAGTATTGCTTCAGATGGTCAGTTATTATAAACGAAAAGAAACTGTACTGAGTTATTGTTCATGTTCTTTGTGTGAGTTCAGTCTTCTGACGGTACTGAATGTGTTTAAACTGCAAATACAAAAACAGAAAGTCATCATGTCCTACGTGATGTACAAAAGCGACCTGTTAATGAAATAAAAAAGTTTGCACAGAACCTATTGCGGTATTAATCATTCTAAAGCACTTCATTGTCGTTGGGGGTTAAATATGTACAAGTAGTAATACTGGGGCGGAGGGAAAGACTTTACAAAGTTACCTTAAAAATACTTCATATGCATCATTGCGATGTTACGGGACGTTATTCGTGGATTACAGGCAGAGTGTAAAAATCAGTGCCGACAGGTCCGAACGCACAGCAGACTATATGTACAGATGAAAACTGCCCTTACTAATACAATACTGACCAGAAGTAGGCAATCTAGCAAGGCCGGATGGTCACGTGACCAGAAGGATACCATGTAGCTTGAGGAGTGTCATGCTGTAAACAAATGTCTACCAAAATCAGAAAACTGATTATGGGTTCATAACAGCAAGTCTACATGCATGTTATTCAGGGAGAATGTGTTTTAAAAAATCTCCTCCCTAAACCTCATAATTTATCAAGGAAATGTGTTTAGTCTTACATTCACAACATCTCCGGGGTTTATTAGTTCAGTCTCTCATATAAAACATTTACTTCCTTCAGTTCTTGCAATTCGCGTTCGTTTTATCCACCTTATTTTTCGATGGGAAAATAACTTTTTAAACATTTAATCTAAAATCAATGCAGAAGTAAGCTTTTTTTTTTTTTTTGTGAATGTGCGAGACTTCTGATTCATCAGATGCAATGGTTAAGTAACTAGAAGAATAACAAAATGCAGTTAACTGTAAAACTTGAAATTCTTGAGTAAAGGACCAGTATTTAAGATTACAATAATAAATTCTAGTTGGCAATATTACGCATCATAACAGACTGTTTTAGAAGGGACTGACACCGGAAACCTCGCACACTGGTGAAAAATGGCCGCGCGCGCACTTACGGTAAAAATAAGGTGGATAGACAATACGCAAATCTGTTCCTGCTGTTTCGTGAATGCAGCATGTATCACAAAAAAGCCAAGTACCCAAAAACAATCAGCTAAAATCACATTCCTTACGCTTACGAGAGAATTATAAAAGACGTGAGATGAAGACGATAAGTAAATGAAAGAATTACATTCGGCTGTGAGCATGAGGGGGGAAACTCGATTGAATCACAAACGGAGACTAATAAGGCCTCGTGCACGTTACAATGAAGAAGCTCATTTCATTTTCTCATGTGTTGTCACGGTAGCACTTTGTAATTGACACAGTCCATTAGTTAAACTTATGTAGACACTACTGCAGATTTTTAAAGTCATCATGAAAATCCATCCCATCTATTATTTTAATGTATGGCATAGGTCTTCAACCCTGCTCCTGGGGACCCACTGTCCTGCAGAGTTTCTTTCAAACCTGTATCAGCACACCTGGCCTGTGACTTTTCAAGTGATCCTGGAGACCTTGATTATGCTGGGTACACACCACAAGATAATCGGGCTGATTTTGGGCCGATTTCTCCCCTTCCGACAATCCTAGCTAATGTCCCGATTATCTTGGTGGTTCTAAAGATTATCTTATCAGATTTTCCTGTGGTGTGAGGTGTGTTAAGAGTGACTGAATCTGCTCGGAAGAACGTCGGAGGCGCCCCGATCGCAAATTGTAAATATTCAACAGAAATCCTGATGTGTGGGGGGGGGGGGGGGGGGACCCCAAGGACACCACACACTATTGGAGCAAAATAGTTAAATCTAGGATTTTTTGTCCTCATGTTTGTGGTCTCTCACATCTTGAAGATCTTATAAGATTTAAACAATCTTTTAGTGTGTACCCAGCATTAGTTGGTTCAGGTGTGTTTGATTAGGGTTGGAGCTGAACTCTCCAGGAGCAGGGTTGAAGACCTATGATGTATGCTATTGTGAACAATTCATCCATTCATATTTCTTTTCTCTCTCTCTCTCTCTTAACCTCGTAATGTTTGATTAAGATGTTTGGTGGCTTGTTTCCACCATGGAATTAAAAAAAAAAGTAATTGAGACTTTTTATCTCACAATTCTGATAGAAAAGTAACAATTGCAAGTTATAAACTCAGATTTGCGAGAAAAAACTCCAGAATTGTAGATACAGAGTTGCAATTCCCTTTTTTATTTGTTTTATTGTGTGACAGAAACAAGCTTCCATTAAAAACGACCGACTTCTCTCTGGTGATGTATGTCAGACTTCTCCAATCATTTAGTCCACTTAAACCCCACCTCTGTCTTGCAGTCACCAAATGAATCGAATGGGTGGAGCTGGACGACGTTTCTGAACCTAGTTATGTTCAGGGATAGGGTTATGGTTATTTAGGGTGTGGTTAGACCTTAAAGCGCCACCCATTACATCCAGAGAATGGGAGCTGGATGTCAAGCTCTGCAGCGACCACCTTCTTCTGCAGCCTGGCATTCAGATCTGCCTCCATCAATCAAAAACCTACAGATGGAAGCAGGTCCCTGTCCTACAGTTTATCTTTTTCAATAATCAGTTACACTCAAGATATACATCACAGAGGAAAAAAATATCTGTAGCTATTTCCGTTTGTCACAACTTTAAAATTGATCTTAACTCCTTTAACTACTCAATTTGAAGTAGAAGATTTTGGACATTACAAAAGTGTCAGTGATCGTGACGTACTGCTATGATCTGGGACTGATGCAGAAATCATGAAATGGCGCTTCTGCCTTGTAGCGTGTGCTAGGCTTGTGATGGATTCTGTAAATTTAGGAAGACGATCACAGGACAGACACTCTAAAGCAGAAGAGAAGTTCCACCACGCTCTGCACAACCAAACATTAAAACGAAAAATACTACACTCTCACATTTCACTCTGAATTATATGACATACTGTATGTACAAAATTCTCTGAGAAGAGATGACTGCATGAACGGGCCCGGGTGATGTTCTGGTGAAGTGGACGTGCGAGTTTCAAATGGGATTGAATCTTACCAGCCTATGAAGCTGTCCTTCAATACATGCGGCACCCTTGAGTGAAAGATCTTAAAACATTTGTACATCGTTACACTACAAGGAATCGATAAACATGTGTTCTCATGCATACAGCAGTAGGTTCTACAGTGACAGCGTGTGCTCAAAACAATAGTTAACTTCCTGCTCCTGCATGAGCTTCTTGCACCGAGGCAACAAGGGGACCAATCACAGGACAGCATGTGTTTGGAGGCGGGGCAGGGCATGTGTGGGGTCACAAGAGGGGGCGGGGTTTAACGAGGGCAGGAATGGCTGCTGTTGTTTCTGTTTCTGCTTAGCACGGCTGCCATTCCGGGTTTTTTTCTCGTGATGAAATCGTGTTCCTGAGTCCTGTTTATGAATGACAGCAGGAATGGGAATCTGATACCACGCTCCTCAACGTCCAGGGTGAGACGGTTCCATGCCACAAATGCTGAACAGAGATCAGAGGAGACCACGCCCAACTCTTCCATTCACTCGTCCCTTGTTTCTCCATTTGAATTCCTTATTTCATTTTCTCATTCATACAAAAGTGGAGGAAAATCCTTACGGAGTTTTGCAGACCAGTTTCGAGGAGTTCTTTTATATTGACGTTTCCCACAGCTGAAACAGATCACGCACAGACAAAATGAACACATGCTATTCAAGCCAGTCATGATGAAAAAAGTATGCATGCTTATTATGATCATTACAATAATGTGCAGGCGGCACAAAGTCTTCAGCAAAATTAGATGTTCTTGAGTAAATATTTGAGAATTTCTTTCAAGAAAATTTTCAAGAATTGCACTTAGGAACATTCTTAGAAACTTCTTAAAATTCATCTTAAAAAATGTCTTATCTTCCTTCAAGTTTTTTTGTGAATGTGGCCCCAGGCTTGTGGGTATCTAGTTTACTTTAGACTAAGTGCTTCATATGATCTGTGCATGATAGCAATGGGAAAACAACGCTTTTCGAAGCTCTGAACCAATTGTTTTGTGTTATTAGGCAGGGCTTGACAAACAAGTCAATTAGTAGCATTTAAGTTTCATTTTCCTTTTTGTACACACACATAAGTATTAAAATTCATTAAATTAATTAAAAATGAACCTACATTATAAAACTAATCAGAGATGAATTTGACACGTGTTCATGTGTTCACCAGATCAATGTCATCCAGTGTTATTTTAGTATAATTGAGATACTATTATAGTTTTAAAATATATTTTGAATTAGATTTTATTTTTGTTTTCTGATTTCATGTAAATTTTAGTTCAAGTTTGAGTAATTTTGTTGTGTGCTTTTTGTTGTCATTTTTATTAGTTTTTGTTGGTTATACATAGGTTTATATAGGTTTTATGAATTTTTATTTCAGTTTTAATTTTGGTTAAGTACATCAAGTTAAACTAAATGAAAATTAGAAAAGTTGCCTTGGAAACTAGCTGAAATCAAATACATTTTCATATTTTATTTTATTTCAGCTAGCATTTATTTTATTCAAGTAACGATTTTTTCAAATGGTTTTAGTTTTAGTTAACTACTGTATATTAACCCTGATGCCATCTAGTGGCGAACCATTGGAATTTTGAAAGTTTGATACAAGTTCCCGAACCATCGATTTAAAACAAATGTAAATGCTGTTTCTTGAAGCAGCATTTCGAAAGATCTCCTCATTAGTGGACTGATCATCTTGAGTAAAAGCTATAAAGTTACACATTGTGCAGAAAATGTGGTGTAATAACCCCTTGAGAAACAAAAGCTAAATCATTGTTCTGAGGAAACTGTCTAAATAATTTAATCATGTACTTATGATAATATAGTGACGCTGACATATGGTAAGTCTTACCCTGGCACTCTGTCTGTTGGCCTTCCTCTCCTCATCTGGAAGGGGAGGCATGGGGTAGGGGTATCTCCGGCTGGAGGCTATGGAGCCCGTTGAAGAAGTGGGCGATTTGGCGGGTGACAGTGTCCTGAGGGTACGGAGAGATGTGACATTAGTACTGTAGTGTGTGAACCGGATACTAGCATTAGCAAACATGAAGCTGTCACCTTTGACCCCTTGAAGAGGTCAGAGGGAGTGTTTCCACGGCAAACCATCATCCAAAATCACTAACTTCATCAGTCCTTGCCACAAAAATACCCACTGGCTCTTACTGGAGAGTGAAGCTGGGCAGATACCGCAAGCACAATGTAGTGCTGTTGGGATGTTTAACAAACGTCATGTGGGCTTACAAACATGGCGGACATGATGAGGTGATCAGGGCAGACACATGTGATCATCGTCACAGAGACTATGTCAGCCAAATGATGATGACATCACAGAGTGCAAAAGCGACACGTTAAGCAGCAGCCGGCATGCAGAGAGGGACACTGAGTGTGAGAGGTATAGAGCAGTGGAGGAGGAATAAAACTAAAAACTAAAATTACAAGACAATAAATGAGACTGGTTTGGTCTTTTGATGTTCACACACAGATGCGAAAATAAAACAACCTACGCAGAACACCTGAGTGAATCTCACGAAAACACATCCTAGTTATATTTCAGTCCAAAATCAAAAGAAAATATTATGTTCAGTCAAATTAATTAGATAATTATGATATATATGATAATGACATAAAATGTATATACCCATATAAAATCATTTTTAGGAACATGATCATTGGCACTGTGACAATGTTTCCCACACATTCAAGTCTTAAGACACTACTTGAAAAATGTATAATTATAACTGATTGGTGATTCTAATTTCTAGTCATTTTAACTGTACTACAGTGAAAGAACTACTGTAATAGCTTTATTTAAATTCAAATAGATTAAAGGTAGTAAAAATGTACAATGATGTATATTTGCTTTACAATAAAGATTATTTTGATTGTTGAAGGAATGATTGTTTATGTTTATTTGCATTACAATAATGAGAATTTTGAGATTTCTTTTTAAATGTCCTTTTTTTGCCATTAAAATAGTCACAACGTAACAAAAACACTTTTCTATGTGAAAAATTATTTCTTATTTCAGTTGATTTTGGACTGAAATCTCATCTGAACACGAGATGATCATATGAAAGGCATTCTTGGATACGTGCATCCCATGATTTTTGACGTTTACATCAAATGATGTACTGATTATCAAATGCCTTCTGTCTTCCTTTAAAGACAAGCCATCAGTTAAACAACTGTTTCGTGTATGAATGGAGATTTCTAAGGACAAACATTTGTGACTTGTGATTACAAAACACTGGATGTCTGGATATACTGTTGATTCTTGTAACTGTAGAAATGTTCATGCATTTACAATACACTACTTTTAAATAACTTTCTCTAATAATTGACACTGCAGTTTAATTTCTAGTGTATCTGTTGATGACTTGTTGCAATGGAATAATAAAGGCTTAGAAGAAACAAATACATTGAAATTAATATTTGATTTTGAGAGGATTTGGGGTCGTTTCTGCCAGCAAGTGCTCTTCAAACCTTAGCACTCAGCTCTCATCTCTGAAAAATTATATTTGGTCAGGGGAACGAACAACTGAGGAGGGAAACTGATGAATAGGGGACAGATATAATGCAGTCTGATGTTATTGTACCTAATATAAGGTCCTTCAGTGTTTTTATTCACATCTTCTACCCATTTAGTTACATAATACTCTGATTTGACGCAAGGGGTTAAATACCTGCAAGAGGATGGGGAAGGAGCGATAGTGAACAGAGAGATAGAGAAAGGGAAGGGTATGGGGAGAAGAGAAAGAACAGGAGAGATAGGAGAAACAGGATAAAGAAGGAAGTTGGTAAAAGTTCTTTACAGTCCAAGATGCAGGTGAGAGATCAGACAGCAGCTTAGACTACAGCACCTACACAGATATCATGAAGCTTTTTCACTTTATGGTTGGTGCAGGACAGAAAAAATCAAAGACTCTACAAAAAACAGCTGCTGTAACATCAGCATCCAATTGACCTGAGTTCACCCAAAAAGGTCAAATTTGTCAATTTACTTGTCGTTCCAAACCTATTTGATTTTCTTTCTTCAGTGGAACACAAACTAGAATGTTCTTTTCAATACAATGAAAGTGAAATAGGGTTAGTGTATATCTAAAATGACAACAACAGAATAATAAAAGTAGTCCGTATGACTTGTGCACTGTATTCAAAGCCATGCAAGAACCTTTATTAAGTACTTTAAGCCGTATTCGATGAAAATCTTCCCCTTCCTGTAGCACTAATATCTCATTCCCACATGCATATTCAAAAGTTTACAGTTTACTACTGTTCAAAAGTTTGGGGTCAGTAAGCTGACTGATTTTTTTTTTAAAGAACTGAACACTTTAATTCAGCAAGGATGCAATGAAAAAAGTGGAAAAAAATCTTCTGTAACATTATAAATGTCTTTAATATTTCAGATAAATGCTGTTCTTTTGAACTTTCTATTCATAAAAGGATCCTGAAAAATACTGCATCACAGTTTCCGCAGTAATATTACAATATTATATCTATACTATATAATATTTCTTCAAGCATCAAGGTTGAATAAATGTTGTATGCAAATTAGATTTAAGAGCTATGGAAGAGGTTAAGGTTATCAGTAATTACACGTGAATTACGATCGCTTCCTCATATGGCCTCAGAAGACGTAGAATATAGTGCTTGAGTCAAACTGACTACTTTTTTGATAATTTTTAATAGCTTAACAGGCCCTAATGGTTTAGCATAAAAAAGCATCAAAATTCTGTTCGCTTTCTAAAGACAGAAAGTCATACAGGTTTGGAATGACATGATGCAGATTTAAATTTAGCAGAACTTTTCCACAACCATCAAGCTATTCAACATTAAAGCACATCTCAGAAGTACGATGCTGCTGACTATAATGCGTTTCTGAATATGTCTTGCTTGAGATTTGAACGAATATTTGAAAATAAAGTTGTAGTATTTGTGTAGGTCAGCTGCATGTTGTGTTTTGTTTTAGTTGTGGTCAGTTTGTCACATGCGTTTGAAAAAAGAGAGTTGAGGTGCAGAAACGAGCATCAAGCTGAAATCAGAATCAGAGTGTATCTTGTGTTCATAAAGATGATGACAGACGTGCAGGTCAGTTTCAACGTGCTGTTTGTTCCAGAGGTTAAATCGATGCACACATCAATGCACACTCAAAACAAACCAACATTTACTCAGTTTCAGTTAATTTGCTTGGACTTCTACAGACTGTAGTACTGAAACATGGCATAGAGTTTAAGACTCAATGCAAAGTCCAACATCTACATCAGTCTCTGTACGGTGTCATGTGACATGTCACTGTGGCAACACTGCATCTCTTACTCTGTGGAGTTGGAGCGTGGACGGAACTTCTTTCCCTTGAGCTTCTTACGGGTACCTGTGATGTTTCCTACATCGACAGAGGAGAAGAACACATGATATGAATGCCGAGACGAATCTGATGCAAGCTCTGCCATTTCGAGCAGATGTATTTATGGGTGCGTTACCTTGCCATGAGTTGCTCCTGGGTCGTCCATTTTCACAGACGTCAGAAATGTGCTTGGCATCTGGGATTCTTTCACTCCAGGAGTGAGACAGACCATTAGATCTTCAGACCAAAGAACAGAGAAATTCTTATTGAAGTTCATTAAATGCAGTTAGAGATTAAAAGGGTTCTGTATGAGGAAAACAAATGACAGAGACGTCACATGGGCCATTCCTACTAAGCAGTACATTTTAATGTTCCCATACATTAGATAAAATATTGGACTCACTGTTATTAAAGATAGAAATCATATCAGTTTGCTTTCTTTTAGCACACAATTAAGTGTGTTTTTCCCATGTCTCTGTGTGCTGCATACTATCATGGAAAACTGGCAATGTATTAGGCAATATTGCAGGGGTTTCTTAATTTCTCTTCCTTTAATCAAAATGTCTAGCTAGAAATCAAAAGTTCTTTCTTATTACAGTACATTAATTTTTAAGCAGAGATCAAAAGATACTGTAAAGTAGGAATGACCCACATCATTGTGATGAGCAGAACACACACACTGAAATGAGCAAGATGAGATCATGGAGATGGACACCATGAAGACACTGACTTACTTATGTCCCAGTATTAATGATACAAGAGCCTGATAGGACTAACAATAACCAAGAGAAAGACAAACGGACAGTTTTGAGCACAAACCTGCAGCAGAGAAGTCATTAAAGAAGGAATAAAAATCTTCAAGTCTTGACTAAAAATGAGGTCCAGTAGAAGGACAGTTTGTCACAGTTTATTTTGAAGAAGTCTGTGCCAAATAAAACTGGAATTATTTCACACTTTTAATAATATACAGCTCAGAGTCAAAAGTATGAACTGTCCCTTCACAAACAAGATAATATCTCAGTTTTCATCTACTAGACTGCAATGTGACTAAATCCAGCGCAAATGGTGACTGACTTCTGAGATGTTTGTCCTGAGGAAATTAATCTCAAATACGTCTCCTCTAGAGTTTGAGAAGAGATCACAATGTCTCAAACTGTGTTCAGATTTGCAAAGATGCTTAAATTCAGAGATCTCAGTATGAACTTTAACATTTCTCTTCAAATTATGTATGAGCATCGAGTTCATAGCTATATACTTTTACTATATGTTCATGTCTTAAGTCTCCAATTTTCACAGAAACATCTGAGACAAAGTTGATACTTAAATGAAACATAACTGGGAACTCCATTAAGTCTGTTGAGCTCTCAAAGTAAACTTTTACACTATTTGTTAGCAGAGCAGGCAAAGCGATGAAGATGGAGATGGAGATGAAGCACACCTGAAGCCGAACAGAGAGATGTTTTGGCTGATGGAAGGGATAGATGGGGTGAAAGAGCAGGTGTTGATTTGGAGGTGAGACAGGTAGGCAGACCTCTTCTTGGAGCTGCTGCCGGAGTTTGAGCTCACGCCCTGCGGCATATCACTGTACAGAGAATCAGCATCTCCAGGCTTCTTCACGTAATCACCAGGAGGCATTTGACTGACAAAATGAAGAAAGTTTGATCTGAAAACTGAGCAAAAATCTTAAATCTGATCACTTAGAAAATTATATGAAGTACACTATTATTCAAATGTTTGGGGTCAGATTTTTTTAAAGATATTAATACTTTTATTCAGCAAGCACACATCAAAATGATCAAAAGAGACAGTAAAAAGATTTGTTACAGAAGATTTATATTTCAAATAAATCCTGTTCTTCTGAACTTTCTTTTCATGAATGAATTTCCACAACCCTTTTAATCAGCACAACTTTTTTCAACATTGATAATAATTAGAAGAAATGTGAACAAATCAGCATATAAGAATTTATGTGACATTATGTTAAATATAATTAAAAAATCTTACCTACCCAAACTTTTGGGTGGCAAATGTAATACATAGGTTAGGAAGCTTGTTGAAATCCTTAATCCAAAAGTATAAGCAATAATAATAACCTTAGCAGTCATTCGAAACTTTCATCTCCCTCACACAACACATAAAAACACTCTCAGAAAACGAAGAGAAAGGAGAACAAACCGACAGAATCTTCTGTGTACGTCTGACTCAACATACTGACGCTGTCTGTAGCTCCTTCACATGGGAGAAAACACAGAAAAAAGCAACAACCACAATTAGTGCAAAACATCCAGGGAAAAGCATAATAAAAGAACAAATGTAAAACTGTATATCATTTGGTTCTGTATGTGGTAAACAATGCCTGTTGCAATCACAAGTGCATGTAAAAAAATTTCCCAGTTTAAGGGACAGTTCACCCAAAAATGACTGTGTCTTCCTCACTCGTTCCAAACCTGTATGTATGACTTTTTCTTTTCCGTGGAGCACACAGAAGGAACTGTTTAGAAAATTTCTGAAGTGCTCTTCACCATGCAATTAAAGTGAAGGCAGAAGCTGTTGTGCTCCAAAAGTTTCAAAATAAAAAAAAATAGCCCTTTGGAGATTCTGCTAATCTTCTTCTGAGTTCAGTGCAAGAAAGTTTGGAACGACATGAAGGTATAAATGGTGATAGAATTAAAATTTTGGGGTGGACTATCCCTTTAAATAAAGTTTAAAAAAATATTCAGCTATTGTGGGGTCTGTAATCATGTGACTCACTTGTATCCCCATGCAGAAATGCCAAGAATCAGTGCAAGGACCAGGATAGAGCCTGCAATGGCCCCAATGATGATGTTAGTAGTGATGGTGCCTGTCAGAGGAACAGAACATTTAATGTGTAGCCATGGCAACTATAAGTCAATGCTGACCTGCAATCATCTGGACAAACCAAAACTAATCTGATATAGATACAGAATCTTTTTTTTTTGTCCAGTTGACCGCATGCCAAAATCAATCTGGAATAAAAACAGATAGAGACAGAAACCAGAAAAAATATTTAGATAAAGATTTATGACTCTTTCTGTCCATGGAGGCTGCATGTTAAAGGCATCCATTTAAAATCAAATCCATAAAACAGGGTATAAGACGACGTTTATAACAACACAGCACAGCAGATAAACACTGCTAGCTTTCATTCAGACAGAAACACGGAGGAATGATGGGGCGAGTGAACGACAAAACGACAACAAACAACAACTCAAATCTAAACTCACTGTCACTCCAGCAAAAGACATGAGCCTGTCCACAAAGAACGAGTGCGTATAAACAAAAGCCATGAAACAGAAAAATAAAAAGAGAAATTAAAAGCGTGTGAAATGTGTGTGAGTGGTGAATGAACTGTTGAACATGAACATGAAAAATAGACTAACAAAAAAAATGATCTTCATATATTCAGCATTCATGTATTTATATATATATATATATATATATATATATATATATATATATATATATATATATATATATATATATATATTTTTATTTGTTAAATATCTTAATGGTTATGTATCTGAAACAGCTTACAATTGTGTTGCAATAACAGGAACCATCAAATTTAACCTAACAGTCAAGTAGATTCAAAATGTTTAATGTAAGGATTTGTAAATGTAAAAATCTTGTAAATAATTAATCAATTCTAAACTGTTTTTCACTAAATAAATTAAAATTATATATAATAAATAAAATCCTTCAGTGCATTAATATCGCTGATGCTTAAGAGAACACCTTATTTCTTTTAAAGTTGACATATGTATCCGTTTTACACAAATGACCAATGAAATATGCCCAGACACGACATCTGATTCTTTAAATTTTAAGCAAGGCGGTGAGTCTCCACTTGCTGGAGGCTTTTGCTCATAACTGCCATGTCTGCTGCTTCTGGATTCATGTCATAAGCTGGTTTTGTAATGCATGTTGGTAAAGGATCTCCAAATAGTGGAACTGGTTCTGCATATCATTCTCTTGTGAAGATTAAGCAAAGGTGAAAGTTTGGCCTACCTGGTGTTTTGGCTGTGGGTCGCACCAGCAGGTAACTCAGAGGAGAGGTGGAGTTACAGTCCTCACCTGCCCAGCCCAGGTCACACACACACCTGAGCTCATTACTGCACACCTACAGCACACACACACACACACACACACACACACACACACACACACACATATAGATAAAGCAATTATAGAATGAAGTCAAAACACAGTGATGAACAGCAGCATTTAACTAACTAAATAGTTTGCTACAATAAAAGATGATGCACGGACTTAAATCAGTGAACTGTTTATTAAAATATTATGGGTATTTATATAAATAAAATATAAATATAGCGCATGAAAGAGTTCAATCTGGCCCACAGTATGATTTATTACAGTATTTAAAATGTATTACATTTTGACAATTTATTTTTGTCTTTTTATTATTATTTATACATTCATAATAAATTATTTTACATTAAAATCAGTGCTTTCAATCCATTAAAATGTTAGTTAATTAATAGCACATTTGTCTGTAATCGCAATTAATCACATCTAACATAAACATTAGTAACCATAAATACATTTTCACAATGAATCTCCAAATTAAAGTAGAATATGTTGCTATTCTACATTATAGTAAAATCTGTGCCATCATTTAATAGACTTAAACTGTTACAGAACATTACTATATAAAAATAGTATAACTTTTAATTTAAGTGAACTTACAACAATCTTCACATTATCCCATTAGCCTATCATAAATTTCACATTTAGCTGTGCCTTTTATATAGTGTATATAGTAATATATTGATGTTTCTTTCTCTACCAATATCAGGCTTCTCTGTTTGAATGAAAGCTGTCAGGTCATTTTTGCCACACTTAGAATATTTAGCACATTTATTTTCACAATAAATAAGAAAATTACCATTTCACAGTCCAAACTGTCTTCTAATTATTTATTCAAGGCATTTGGCACTTCTTAATGTGCACCTTTTTTTCAGCTGAAACTGGATCAGTGGGTGACACAACTGTCACAATTCCCACCACACACAATCTCTCACCCCATGTCCGGAGCAGATCACCCTTTCGTTGGTGCCGGGGCACGTGCTGAAGTTGAATTCCTGCACTAGGAGGCATTTGTGATTAAAGCAGATGCGATCCGTCCCACACGCCGTTCCATCCTCTACGTATCCCAAATCAGTGTTGCCATCAATCAGCACATGGCCTCCACTGAAACATTCAAACTCACGTTAGGAAAACCAATCACATAGAAAGCTGAAGTGAGCGTGTGTTTGTGTATGTACCTGCAGTCCAGTGAGGCGCTGTGCTGGGCCACAGAGAAAGAAGTCAAACCTCCCTGTAACTCTCCTAGTCTGGGTGCAGGAGAAATGTTGGAGCACAGCAGGTATCCACAGTGTACATCCCTAAAACCCACACATGCACACTTTTTAATCTAGATAGAGTAAATAAAATTAAGGTAATCCCATAATAAATGAGAAAAAAGTAATTAGCACAAGATTAACACAAACTAGGAAATTATGTGATTTTAAGCATAATTTTCAAGCCTGGAAAAATTCATAGAAATTTCATAGTATCATTTTAAAAAAAATATACAATATACATACACACACTTTTAAGGTTAACACACTTCCCCATCAGTGTGGTATGACCGTCAAACTCACTGTTTTTTGCACTGAATCCAGGTGTCTCTGTCACGCCCACAGTTGCCCTTCTCTGTGCCTTCAATGTTGAGTTTCTCATAGCAAAACTTATCAGCCGATGTTGCTTCTTTAGAAACAGAGACATCACACATCATAATTACATCAGCACCACTAACTGAAATAAATATGTTTAAGTTAAAGTACTTCAATGAATAACACTAAAACGGAAATAAAAATAAATTAAGGCCAAATAGAATAGAAAAATGAACACTTTGAAATATTATTAAAAAGAACTAATAAAGTTAAAATAAAATTAAAAGTTAAGTTAAAATTAAATAAAATTAAATATAAAAAAAATTATTCAAAATAATAATAAATAATGTAATAGCATATAAATAATATTAAAATAACATTGCCACGCACTCTCTCCCCAGAGGTATTTGCACTGTCTATCCTTGGTTTTGCACCTGCCATTGAAACATCTTCCCTAAAATGAGTGAAATTAAGAAAAATAGGTTACACTGATATATCAAAATAATATAAGATGATAAATAATAAATTATGACTAATATATATACAGTAATATACATTTGATATACATAAAACTCACTTGGTCTTTCTCACATGTGTACCCATCCATCTTGTGCAGGTTTGGAGGACACTAAAAAATATATGGAGTTTTACATTTTAAAGCATGTTTAGAATGGCATACTATTTACTGTTTTTAAATTAATGTCGTATGCAGTATACCAGGTAGAGTACGATATGTGAATTTGATGTATGTATAGAATACTAGTATGATCTACTAGATTTGCAGAAATGCAATATACAATACAATACAATATGCAATATACAGCAGAGCACACTGAATGGAATACTGTGTCCCATAATGCAATGTGTTTGACTTGAACCAGAAGGTATATCTTATATATTCATGCTCATCTAATTGACAGCCATACCATTAAACTGATTAAAAAGATTAAGATACAAAAAAAAAAAAATCTATGTTAAAAATTTAATTGTGATGTTTTTATCAGCTGTTTGGACTATTCCTTTGATGTATTAATTATACTGCTGTAGGATGTGTTGTGAGATGTATGTAACAGTGCCCTCACCTGGCTAGAGTTCCCAGTGCACATTTCAGGTATGTCACAATCACTGACAGCGTCACGACAAAGTACACCCATAAACTCCAGCTACAGAGATAGCACAATGATCATTAAAAGTCACACACACAAACAGAAGGCTACAGAGTTTTCTTGTTCGACTCAGCTCCTACCTGACAGTTCTTACAACAGAGACCATCACTGCATTTGGCTCCCTGAGTCAACATACATTTCTTGCAGCAGTTCTCCCCTTCTCTAGCACACTCCTGCAGAAAGACAGAGAAAACCTGATTACATAAGCAGTGTTAGATTAATGTGATCACGATGTTGATGTAAGATCACTCACGGCTGGGCTTCCACAATCACACTCCTCTCCTGCCTCCACAAAACCATTTCCACACTCTGGAGGATCCAAGAGCTACAGAACAAAAAAAGAGTTATAAAGCAAGAGCACTGTATATATATATATATATATATATATATATATATATATATATATATATATATATATATATATATA